GTGTATATATATATATATATATATATATATATATATATCCACTCAGTTGAGAAGAGGGCACAGCTGGGAATTCCCCTTCATTCTACACCCTGGAAGTTTAATCCCAAGTGCTGATGTTGGTGGAAGCTGGACCAGTCAATGCTGGAACTCCTTGTAATACTGGATTCAGGTAGATAGCTCTCTGTTCTTACAGTTGAGACTTGTAGATGCCCCTTCTTGCTAATTCTGGTTGCTGGATGTTTCATTTCCCTGCTCCTATGGTTGTGCTTTGCGGAGCTCTTTTGCCTTGTAATACTGATTGCAGGACATACGAGACCCTGTTCCTGCAGTTGTGCAAGTGTTCCACATCATGCTCATTAACACCAGGTACAGTTGAGTTGAGGTTTACCTACAACCCCATAAGTCAAGGTTCGGAATATGTTTTACTTCTTGACTCCTATGGTTGGGTTTGTCTGGTGGATGTCATTTGCTTACTTCCTCATCACCATTGCAGTTGCTTGCAGTATTGCACTTTGTTTACTTAGGGGTGTTTTTTTTATATTATACTCATGGTCCATTTGCCCTAGCCACCATGTACTCTATATCTTGATTTTGATTTTCTGTAAGGTCCTCCACCTTGTAATTTCAGGGACAGTACGTGGAACCTTGTCAGTATGGTTGGGGTTGAGTAGATACCTAGCACTGTCTAGATGGATACCTCCATCTTCATAATTCTGAGAACTGGTCATTGGTTTTCTGTTTTTTTCCATGTGGGTTTGGAGTTACCCCTAACTGTTCATTTTCTTTTCTATATACTCCTTGTGGCTCTTATCCTCTTGAAGTCATTTGTTTCCAGCCACATTTATACATTTCAGTATGGAGTGGGATTAATATTGATTATTTACACATGGTACATTGTTTTCTGAGGTCTTTCTTGTCCTAGATCCAGATCTAGATGATGCCTATTTCATGACACTCCACTTCTTTGAGAACATAGAGCATATCTGATCCAAATGTGGTGCAGTCCCCACATATGTGCTTCCATTCCTTTACAGTGCACACCTGATCGATCTCATACAGATGCATCCTGCGGGGGGTATCTTGTTTTATCTTAAACCGATTCCTACACCTATTCAGTGTGGGAATTTAGCTATTGTGTGAGAAGAGGTATGTGTTGTATTGGAAGTTATTATTTTCTTACACTGTAAATAGATTTCTGATACATACTTACCTCCTCTCACACACTTCCCACCCTTCCTCCTAACTTCTGGTGTTCTGTTTTTGTGGGCCTAATCTTGAAAGTGAGGTTCACGTAAAGTGGTACAGAGGGACCCAGCTTCTCTAGAAGAGTGTATCGTGCTCCTATTTGTGGAGGGTTGTTGCATGCTTTATGCTTGCTAAATGAGCAGCTCAAACTTGTGGGGTATAAAGGCTAGCACGTCATGTGAGAAAATTTCTTTTCAATATGTTAGAGGGTAGTGAAAGATTGAGCAAAGCTACTGTGTGAAAGGAGATAGGTATCTATCAGAAATCTATTTTCAGTGTAAAAAAATTATAGTTGGAGATAACAAGTTTGGTAAACAGTTTGAATTAAAAAATATTGAAATATATGACATTTGTAAGGGTTTTTGAGAATATGATATAATTTGTTAACCATGAATCTTTATAGAAACAGTTGAACTTGTGCTAGTAAATAGCCGAATACATCCTGTTTATTTAATAATCTATAATCTAATGAATATCTGAGTTATATATTAGGATAATTTACTATTTCCAAGCTACCAAAATTTACCCATTGAGCACAAGACTCGTATATTTAGGTTTGTTCTCATGCTCACACATATTAGTAAAAAATCTCATGTTTTGGTTAAATTAGCAGCTTTGTATAATGTATTGTTTTTGGTAGACTGGCTGGATCCAGAAAACTTCTTCCTCACTTTGATCAGGAAATGCACCATTTTGCTTCATTGAATACAAATTGTTATGGGGAACCTGCCCCAGAGTTCCCAAAATGCAGTTCTTTGATGCTCCCAGCACTTTACCATGCACTAAAATTTTGATTTTTGAAAGACCTCACTCAATCAAATTTATAAAAGTTGGCAGCCCTGTTTGATGATAAGGAACCTACTTTTATCAATAAAGTTTGAAGATGACTTGAATGAAGTTTAACATGGTAACAAATGTACAACGTTTTGACAAAATTTTATCATAATCAGGTACAAGTAATTTACATAGACACAGGAATATATATACAGTATGGAACAAAGAGGTTATATAATCAGACATTGCTTAACAGCTTAGTAAAGATACCTTGGCACTCCGGTGTGTTGGTTTAGAGATGATGGCATTTTTGTGACTCAAGCATATCTGTGAAAAGATTAACTTTCTTGAGATCTTTCACTGTTTCATCTCTATGCATTGTATGCCAGCTGTTATGAATAAACACCTCAGTTTTAGCTCAAACATTTCTTAAATTGAAAGGTTGCTGTACATGTTGATTCAGGTTACAAATGATTTGATTTAATATTACTGAAAAGTAAAATCATAAACATTATTGGAAATATTTTTGTATTTTACTCGGATATAACAATAATTTTGATAACTTGTTTTTAACAAAGAAAGTTCCGTGACTTGCTTTACGAGACAGATACTATTTGGAAAGTTCCATGCATCTAACACAAAGATTGCTTTTTTGTCAAAAGCAATCCAAGAGGTAGCAGTTGTAGTCACCAGATGATTTTTATAAAGAAACTTAAAAAGTAATATTTTGTGTTAAGTTCTTTAAAATTGTTAGTGAAAAATGACCAGTGGGTGCTGTGCTTAGAATAAAAAAAAAGATTATTTTAAAATGAAAAATGTAATAATATAGAATTCTTTGGATGTAATACATGTTATAAATTCAAATATCTAAAAAAGTTCTAGAAAATGTTCGACAGAAATGTTTGAGATTATTTACTGAATCAGAAGGAAATTTCCAAATTTTATAAGTTCTGTAATGACTCTTCCTACAGGTTGAACTACTAGAAGTGTTAGCTGATATTCCATTTAGTGTTGTTCAGTATTTAGAAGAATCTTATAAGAAAATTAAGAAGAATGCAATACAGCCTAAAACATTAAGTTATCAAGAGAGATTTTTAAAAGGAGTTGTCATTCCACTTTTGGGAGAAGAGGATTTTAGAGTTCGACAGGTAGCTGCCTTCACCATTGTTAGGTAGGAGCAAGAATTTGTTTGAAAATATTACCTTTTATTAAGATTTTTTTGTTCACCAGCATCTACCATTCTTAGCTAGGTGGGAGAAATAATGTGAGTGTAGTCACAGTTAAATATTTGTTTAAAAATGTTCACAGTTGAATAAAAGCAAAAAATATGGCTGTCATAGTGTGTACACATTTGTAATTGTTATTAAGGTTTAATTATTTTTATAGCTTGATTGGTCTCGGAGATTCTTTTTTGTATAAACATATAGGGTGTAGGAGAACCATAAATAAAAAAATTTTAAAAAGACCAGTAAAATAATGGTATTTATTAAATCCATAACTTATTTTCTTTAGTCTTACTACACATTTTTTGGCAACATTAAAAATTATCAATGCAACAAAATCTCAAGTATTCTTTAATGGAAGAAAACATTCTCTTGAAGCTATCTACTTTGTACTAATAAAATACTTCAGGTTCTTTGAAGAATAAAAAAACATATGTAAATAATAATTTTTCTATTAAAAAAGAAAATTGAAGTTTTAAAAATAGACATTGAAAAATGAAATGATAGGAATTTTAGTTTTGTTGATTATTGCACACTTTTTAAATTTATTATTATTTTTATTAAGACTGCAAGCTTTGGCTCTCTAGTTGGGGCCTTCTTTGGGTAGAATGTATGTGACCATTTTTTACAGTAGTATAATTCAAACATTTAACATAGCAGCACTGCAAACATATGAAATGACCTGTAATGTGTGTAAATTTTTAAATAATGGATATATACATACACATACATATGTAAAGAAAATTATTTATTAATAATGACTAAATAAATAAGTCTTAGCAGGTAGTCCAGTTGTTAGAAACATTCTTTGTTTTTGATAAAGGTAACCAAACAGCAAATGAATGTTTAACTGAAGTTTTGTTTATATTGTGTGGTGGTCCACTGTCATGAGTTATAATGGCAACTGCTTCTTGAAGTTTTGTCATTTTTATGTATAGTATTGAGATTATTAGAAATAATATTGTGGTTTATGATTATAACATGAAATTCTATATCAGAAATGTTGATATTGTAGTTTTGATATTTCTTTTATGTTTCATAGTACAAGCACAACCTGAGCATTTGGTTTCACCTATATATTGTGCTGTTCATTCGCATTGTGTTTTTGAGCATCTTTTGGAATGAAGGATTTAGGTTTTGACAAGTTGTTTCTTAACTAAATGTGCATGGGATTTGCCTAATGGACCAATCCCATAGTTTGAAACGTTTGAAATGTATTTAAGAGGTTTTATGGATTAAACAAATGAAATGAGAGATTTTTGAGATGAAGAAAAGTATTTTTTAATTTTAACATGAAAATTACTTTTCACATAGACTATTCAAAACAGATACTCAATATATTCATGGGCAAATCTTTATTTTACTTTATTAATAATATTTCACTAAAAATATGTTTGTTTTTTTTGTATGTGAAAGACTTATAATGTTAACTGAAAGACTGCCAAATTTGTGAAGAAAAACACTATATTGAAAGTATTAGAAGTATTAAATCTATGAAGACTTTCAATGAGTACAAAGAGGTCATGTGGTCGATCAAATCGACTGACCCCATGTTAAGAGAGTTAATGGTGCATCATGAAAGAATGTGACTCAGCAATTATTCAGCTGATTTCAAACATTTTTGTCACTCATGCTACATTGGTGACATTTGCAGTTTTCCACAATTGTGTTCAGGATCATTACTTTTTTAACTGTTTCAGTTCCGAGCATTCAGATATTAAGTTCACATGTGATTTTAAAAATCAAAGCTTCTTTTTTTCCTGAATGTACTAATTACAGTGTCTGATAAGGCTTGCACTACTTACCACTGTGGTAAGTACAATTTTACTGGTTTACACTCAGATTATTACTGTGTCATTTGTAATTTTTTAATGAAATTTGATAACTTGATTACTAGAGCTTATAGAATTACCAATTATTCATATTATTAAAGCTGATTTGTACTTTAGCTATTGTTATGATTTATTATTTACAAGTTAGCTCTAGGCTCATAAATTTACCTTATTTCTGTTAAGTGCAGTTATTATTTTCTTTTATAAGCCTTAAACAGAAGGATGAGCTGAAATAAAAAAAAAAGTTAATTATTTTTAATATATTTGTCAACCCAGTGTTCATATGCCAGATTCTTTTTAACCCTGGAGCATAGTTGTTTATTTGCATTCAATAAAGCATTTTTTGTAGCATCTGTATTTCATGTCTGATTCATTCTCGACTTAGCATTAAAATTTTTTTTTAACATCTTGTTTAAAGATTCTTATAGCTTGCCTTTTGGTTGTAAATATATCTCAAAATACCACTTATTTATACCTTTGGTGATGACATTATGTACATCTGTTAGCTTGGCAAAAGAAAGAAAAAAATAGGTAATACTTGTTTCTTCATACTAAAGTTTGGAAGATAAGGTGCACTGTTTTTGTTTAATATTGCACTTTTTGTATTAGAAAGCTCAGTTCTTTAATATAAATAGTTTTTAATTTTCAATTGCAGGTTAGTGCCTCATTTGTTCTACCCAACAGATCATCCTCATCATGACCCAATTGTAGCTGTGGCAAAAGAAAAAACATCTTTTTTCTTAAACTCTGTCCTTCCTAATTTGATTGGAAGTGTTCATCCTTTAGTTCATGGCCTTGTGCATCCATTTAGCTACAAAGAAACAGTTTTGCCATCTTCTTCTACTGAAGCCTCACTATCAAGAATCATCAGCATTTTGTCTAAGTGTTTGCTCACTTCATCTTCAAGGCATATGACGGTAAGCCAAGTAGTAAAATCATTACATTCTAATAATGTAAACAAATTGAATTTATACAATAAACTTTTGTTGAAACTCCAAATTGTAAAATTTTTAATCTGTACAGTATACATTCACTGTTTACCAGATCATGAGATAACATGAAGCTAGTTATGATTATCATATATTTAGAGCTTATTTATCTTTTTAAAAATAATATTTTTCTTCTGTATTATATACACAGGAAGATACCTGTTATTGAGCTTAAGAAGGAAGTATCATCTGTTTTTAACAGATGAGAATTTAGGTTTGAGATAGTACACACTGTCTTGGCATTCATGTATTAACTCTTTGAGCACAGGTTCAGTCCCTGGAACAGACTTCTTAAACATTTTGTGCTTGATATAGTTTCATGTTCTAACTTTTAAATTAATAAGCGAATGTTAACGAAATTTGGCAGATTATCAGTAAACATTACAATGCTTCCATACGCAAGATATCAATTTTTTTTTAAATTTAAATCTTAAGGTTTATAAAGCC